AGCTCCAAGAAGAGGAACCCGCGGTCCGAGCTCCCCAAAAGGAGCCCAAACTCTCCCTTTGACCCCAAGCCTTACGAGGAGCGCAAAGGGCAACAACCCGAACTGGCCCACCCCAGGGCAGTTTGGGCCACACTTCTATCCGAACTCAAGACTTCACCTCGCACTCCACTCTGGCACTTTGTCTCCAGGCCACTGAATTGAACAACCGTACCTGACACCGAAGGAGTCCGTATCCTGAGGCGGCGCACTTGACTGACTTAGGATCTGACGCTTGACAGCCGCACTTCAACGGCCACCTGCCACCGCCACCTCCAGTTATAGAGACGGCTTCAACAAAGAGAGCAGTGGTGGTTGTCTGCCCCAGTAGAGGTGATGACACCCGAACTGGCAGAAGTGCAGAGGTGATGACACCCGAACTGGCAGAAGTGCAGATGTGATGACACCCGAACTGGCAGAAGTGCAGAGGTAATGATACCCGACTTGACAAGAGCTTGTGAGTGAGTGCGCAAAGTGGTTATAAAAGGCCCTCTTCCCCCAAGAATGGAGGTACGTGATAACTTTGCGCCATCTGATTTTTTTATCTTGCCTTTGAAAAAATACTAACTTGAGCTTCTGAGCACTCTCACCGGGTTCCACCCCGGAGACTACTCGCTTTTTTCCCCGTTTCAGGCACCTTTTGCACCAGTCAGAGGCAAGATCGTTGATAGCTAGGACCGACCGGATTGCGCTCCATCAGGTACCATTGCTGGCAACAACATTTTCAACATGATCTATATTATCCAACGTCCAAGATGATGTTACATCGTTGTACAATTAATAGCAACGTTTCTTAAAAAACATTGAATTTGGCATTACTCCAAACCACACTTTCCCAAATTTCAAGGCATGGTCTAGAGCAATATATATATATATATATTCTGAAAAAAAAAAAAAACTGTACTAAAGAAGAGGATGTTATTTTAAGCACCGCTTTCTCTAATGTGATTCCATTTTCTCAAAAAACAACATCGATGCCAAACACCCACTTAATAAGTCTTACCAAATAACATTTTGGGATAGATGTCTACATGGCAATGAAATATCTCCCATTGTCATGGAAACGTGTTTTTCCAAATGCATGGTTGGATATGCATGTGGGGTGTGCTCGGTGGGTTGCTATTGCCGATTATTACTGAGATGATGGCCATGCACCGAAAATTATGATGGATATTTTTTAGTCTAAATCAGCCCCCACAACGTCCCACAGCACAGATGTTCCCAATACACGGCGGGGATGTGCTGTGGAATGTTGTGGGGGCTGATTTGGTCTCATATTTTTATATATCCATGACATTTATCTTCCATTCCACCCCTTATTGATCTACCATTCAAACATTAAGRTTGTGTGTTGGTTTGAAAGTTACTCAGTAGCATTCCTAGATTGAGATTAGATTGGCAGCTGTAAAACATCTAAAATCATTAATGAAAGTAGTCAAAGTGTCTCACTTGGGATTCAATAAAAAAAAAAAAAGGCATTGCTTTATATCAAAAAAATTCAGGAATTTTCAATAAACAAATTACAAACGAAACGAATAGCTAACCACGAATTAACCCTGAGCGAATTTGATACAAATATGATGAACACCAGAACATGTATTTACATAACCATCAAATAAAATTATAAAACTGTATGATCCAACTTCGAAAGAACTAAAGAATAACCCTTCAAGGATTTAAACATATGCAATACAATCAATCACCTTTCTTATAAGTTCCAAATTCAGAAAAAGGAAAAAAAATCAATCAATCAAAATCCCAAGTATGGTTTAGTTATCATCAGGTGCAGAGTTCTCTTGGGTTTTCTGAAACGACAGTGAAGCCTTTAATCCCCGAGAAGGTGATTCGGAACCAGCTGGTAAGTCGGAGAGAGCGGCCAGAAATCGGCGTATGCTGGCGGAGCGAGCAGTTCTGAAACTGACAGACCTGGAGACGTTCTTGGAGAAGATGTTGGATGACTTGGAGAGGATGAGGTAGACCAGAGCCTGCACAAGCAGGAACATGCCCACCTTCAGCAACATATCCTCCAGGCTACCGTCGAACACCATTTTGAACGAGAATTCGGTATATGATGGCCGGCCGGAAAAGTTAAGATCTCAAGGAGAGGGATGACCGGATGATGATGAGTTAAGTTGTGCTGTGCGGAGGAGATGTGGAGACGTGAACGGGATGGAATTGAATGGACGTAAGAGCAAAGCCAAATCGACCAGTTGTTTATATAGAGAGTGGGGAATTGAGAACGACTCTTGTCATGAAGAAGAAGAAGAAGATTGAAGGGGCCGCCTCTTTGACTTGTGCCATAAGCCAGTCAGATGCGTAGAAGCAGAAGCTTTTTTCTATGACGTCGGCGTTGGCGAAGTTTGTTAGAAAGAGCCTTAAGTTTTGGGTGTCCTTCACATGGAGTGTCAGCTTTAGCTCAATTGGATAATAATACAAGAAATTGGGGATTGAGATTTGTTTGGTGTATGTAGTAGATCATTAAGAAACGATTTCTTTTGTTTTGGGTTTTCTCCAAACATGATGTATGGTTGTGGGTTTGTCTATGTGATATGATGAAATGCTTTGACCGTTCCGTTCCAAGTCCACACGTAACGTAACACGTTGTGCACATTCTAATGACTGCGTCGGCCGGCGGTGCAATCTAGATGAGCACAACAAGAGTGAAGGGAGAAGAGAGAAAAGAAAGAGGAACATCTCATCATCTCATCTCAATTCTCAACTCACCCCGCCTGCGAAACCGGATCCGCGCCTCACTCGCACATCGTACTATACATTAGGAATATCTCTTCTATTTATAAGTTATTATTCACGCGAAATATTCCCCATGCAAGGTGAATATACATCCTATGTGAGGAGCAGATCCGTTCCTCCGCTACGGGCTGCGGCATCAAGATTCAAGAGGACGAATGCCACGTTAGGCTGAGTTGTCGAACTCCCAATGGATAACTTACAAGGATAACTTAGAAAATTATGTTTGGTTAAAAAACCAAGAAGGCCAGTACGTTATAATTCAGTTATAAAATCGACTTTTCAAGTTTCATGAAACTAAAGCTTCATTTAAAAACTCGGTGAGCATAACAGCGCCCCACACCACATCCCAATTATATATTGTAACATCTCCCCGGATGAGAAGGGCATTTTTAAGTAAAAAAAAAGATAAGTCTTTAGGAATGCCAAATGCAGTCAATTTATTCGTTTGGAAGGGCTTTCGGGATGATATGCGGATTTAAACTGACCCCACATGCAAATGATAAGCCCAATGTTTGGGTCATTGTTTTGGGCCTCRTTCTTCTAATTCTTGTCCATTCTAGATAAGAATGGACAAGAATGAATAACATTTGAGTGTTTGATAACAAAATTCTTGCCAAGAGCCTTATTCTTTTCAGAATGAAAAATCAATACATAGCATAAAAATGAGATAGCCTGCAACATAAAAAATAATCATACCCCATTTTGCTCATTTTTATTCTCAAAAGAAACTCTATGCCAACAATGGWTAGGTCTGCAAAACTGTTGCCACAAATGTTTATTGGCAAATTATTGTGGAAACTTATATCGACGGACATTGACTACCGCCATCCACTGGTAAAATATCTATGCTAATAATTTCGAGGAATTAAACTAACAATTTATACCTGTGGACAGTTTTTTGAAGAATGAAAATGAGCAACATAAGACCATGGTTTTCAAAACCAAACTAGTTTGGACGGTCAGACCAAAAAAAACAGGAATCGGTCAGGTGACCAATTCCATTTTCTCCAAAAATCGGATTTCCCCCTAAAACCATTGATTTTGATTAACGAACCGCTGAACCGGGCGGTTAACCGTTCGAACGATTTTGACCATTTTTATTTTTTTGTCAAAACGGGCAGAGCATTCAATTCAAATGGTCAGACTGTTCGACCCGGTAACCGGACCCCTGACTAGTTCGATCACCAATTCAGTTTTAAAAACCATGCATAAGACACTTGCCAGTCTGAAAAGAATTCATTTTTTAGGAAAAAACATTTGATTCATAACAATATTTCCACATTCTATCCATTTATACCTAGACAAGAATAAGAAAAAATGAAAGTTGAACCAAACATGGCCTAAAAATCTGAAAATTCAATATAGGCTTTCCTTACTCTAATTAACTTTCCTGGAACAAAGCCCTCGAAAGTGGCTCAAAGGGATTCTGAATTTGTTGAGGGTTAAAATCCCGCATTTACAGCTCAGAAGTCACCAGCTCCAGGTCAATAGGCATCTGTTATCGTCTCTTTGGAATCGCTACTGAATCTCAATCCGTAAACGAACTCTATTTCTTTTTTTTTTTACAATAGTATAATAGCATAATCACTCTCCCTCTCTCGTCTGTTTATTAACAAAATAATCACTCTACACCAAAAGAAAGAACCCATCCCCTATCTTCTGTTGGTGAATGATTCAGGACTACAGGCTACGGCTGTCATGACTCATGAGATTTTCAACTTCTGGGGATCAAATCTCTGGGGCCTTGTAATGTAAACTGGAGTTGGATTGATTGATCACAATTGACAAATCAGACCAGATGAAAATGTTGTCTATGGTGAGATGACTAGCATTAACAGTTTAACACAGCATAACTCATTGAGCTCAATATAGATAGGGCTAGTGACACAGGTACCCTGTCCTTTTAATTGCAACAATTGAGTATCTTGAACTCTCAAAAATACACATTTAGATCCATACATTAGCATTCCATCAGTTAAACATTACGCTGACCAAATATATGACATTCTCGCATGAACAGAAAATAACATATTCAAATTTTCTGATGATGACATGAGAAAGGTATTTTTGACATTACCTAAAAAAGAGACTGTTTTTGAAAGTTTAGAATAACAAGTGTTGCACTTGAAAGTTCAGGGCACCTATATGTCACTACCCCCAAAGTACAGGGTACCTATCTGTAATTTACCTCTTCTAACCACCACACTCTACAGTGCACATAAGCCAAGAGCAAGAAGAATGACCAAACCAATCTAGCCCAATTCATCTGGATATACTTGGACCAAGGTTCAAAGTATCAACACGTATCAATCCATATAAACCACTATGTATCATTCTGGAACCCCTCTAATATGCCCCTACAAGGCTACAATAAATGTATCGGGGTCTGACTGGTTCAGGGGGTGGAGAAGACCTGAACCAACCCCTGAACTGGTTGCAAAAAAATAAAAAAATATATAAAAATGCGGTATCGATTCGACCGATACGCCACTGTATCGATATTTTTGAACCTTGACTTCGGACAATGAGGTGATTGGCTGAGACCATAAGACTTGATAACCCCCAGGGCCTGCAAGTGCAGCATTTATTTATGTCGTCAATGAAAGAGAAGTGGCTTCATTTTCTATTTCATTTTTTCAAAAATACTAACAAAAATTGTACAACTGACAGCATCAGATCGCAGATAATGAATTGTATATTTGTATCTGCCCAAAATAACGGGGAGGGAAAAAAAGAAAARCCAAGAAAATAGAAAAATGCAGGCAAGTAGCACAAATATACACCATTAGAGCTAAGGTCCCCCAATGAAGATTTTTGCATTTCATTTAAACAGATCCTAACAAGGCCTCTTAATCATCTCCTTTCGTTCCATCTACTGTACACGAACTGCAAGAAGCATACCAAAGTTAAAGAAAGAGAAATAGCAACTTGATTCAGTAAACTGGAACATGATAGGATTAACTAACAGGTCATGCTTGTGGACCGCCCATTAAATGCACTCTCCACATGTCAAAAGGTTACGTGCGTGTAAGATTTACTACTAAATCATAGCTCAACTTCCATAGTTTCTGGTGTTAATGTTTTTATTACTGTACAATAATTTACAGGTAACCATCACATAGCTCCACAACAGTTGATAAATTTCATGAAGATTGCTTACTAAAGATCCAAAATAGTGGAAAACTAATCTTACACGCACGTAGCTTTACAACGCCCCAAAACTAATGCATTCCATTTAATGAACTACAGGATTTGAATTATCATACCCCTGAAAGATAAGGCAAAACAAATAGAAAGAAGAATCTGAAAGYACATTGCTGCCAATTTTAGATGACCTATTTTACATCCAACAAAGCATGACTGACTAGCTTTTAATTATATCATGCAAGCAGTCAAAAAGGCCATTTAAAAAAAAAATAATGAAAGTAGGCAATTTCAATCTTCTGCATTGCAGTTCAGCTCAAGTCGCATGTCACATAAACCGCTATGTATCGGAGTGCTTGAAAAAAGACACTGCAATTTAACTTATTTTACTATATTCATGATAACTATTGACTTGGAAATGATGCCATGGATCATCCTGGGCAATTGGAATTAATAAGCTAAACACCATGCTTTTAGTCATCTATACATGAAAAGTAACACAGACAAAAGACACAGAAGTATAAAACAGAAACGCCAAAGAAACAATGAATCACATTCAAGTTGTGATGTATATACCAGTATAAACAATTTACATCACAAATTATCCATTAATGATCATGGCAATCTGCTCATGTGATATCTTAATCATATAAAGGAGAATAATAGATACAAAATCTTTCTAAAAGATGAACCTACTGAATTTTTATTATGTAATTTAGGTTATATGCAGAGAATATAATAATGACATCCAATGATACAAATATGTAACTTTAGTAAGAGAAACAAGCACAAGAAATGGCCCAAGTATGACAAATAGTACAAAAGATCACAGTTTAAGCAAAGATTTGGGCATTGAGAAATGGCAAGACATTAGGGTGAAAACATTGTCCAGCCTAAACATTTGTCCGTTTTTCATTCCCCACTCCTAAAAAATTAAAAGAACAAAAACACAAAAACCAGTTGACTCACTAAAAACATAAAAGCATCCAGTGATCCAGGATGGAAACGTTCCTCATGTTTTGTACAAGAACTTTGAGGTGGCTTAAGGCCACTTGTAAACCCTAATCAAAATCTTACAGAAATTGCATTCTCTATTTTTTATCTTGTTTTCTGAATTATAAATATTTGTTCTCCTCCACATAAGTTAAACCAACTTCTATAAGTTGCTATCTTGTTCAAATCACTCAAAGTGACACAGAAGCAGCGCCCCAAGATCATATCTGCTGAAACTTGTAACAGACTCTCTTCCTGTACTCACTATTTGAAGAAGCTAGGTTAACTGCCTAACCTGTAGAGTAACTCAGATTTCACTGGTTCACCCTCTTCAAAGGCCTCTATTACATGTGGTACTTGGATTTTAACCAAGTTCATAGCTCTTTGATCAAAACATTCCAAACTCTCTTCTCCTATCAATCAATTTATGGATATTATATTTGAATTTGATCCAAGGTGATGTTGTAATAGCCATGTATAGCAAACCTAGGTTTTGGGGGCATGGTGGCATCAATAAGGGCAGTGCTACCTCTATGTGATAGGGCATTTTTCTGCATGTAGCAAGACCACATTTCAGATGTGATTGCCCCAAGCTATTAGCGGGTGAGGGAAGGTTTGTCCATGAAGTCAATAAGCTGGAATGCAAGAGGTTTGGGGAGTTCAAAGAAAAGGCAAGTGATCAAAGACTTCTTGAGAAGAGAAAAGCCAGATGTGGTCTTAATACAAGAATCAAAATTGTCTGAGGTGGACAAGAAATGGATGAGGAGCATTTGGTCAACAAGAAATTTGAGTTGGGCCTTTGCACAATCGTGGGGAACTTCAGGGGGAATTATTACTTTATGGAGAAACGAAAACTGGGAGTGTGAAGAAGAATTAATTGGGAACTTCTCAGTGTCAATAAAATTGAAGAGAAAGGAAGATGGGTGGGTTTGGGTGCTAACTAATGTCTATGGTCCCACCTCTTACAGGGAAAGGGAAGAACTAGCAGCTGTTAAGGGTTTGTGGGATGGCCCTTGGTGTTTGGGTGGGGATTTCAATGTAATAAGATTCTTAAACGAGTCCAATAACCCCAGTCGTAGGATTACATCTAGCATGAGGCCTCTCTATGGAGAATTTTGCATTGCGGGACCTCCCTCTTCAGCAAGCAAATTTTACCTGGTCAAACTTCCAAGAAAACCCTACCTGAATGGGGGATTTTAGGTGTTACAGCATTGCCGAGACCTATTTCAGATCATTGCCCAATCAGGTTGTCTCAAGAAAGACTAGATGGAGACCCGTGCCCTTTTAGGTTTGAAAACATGTGGTTACTTCATCCAGAGTTTCTAGCTAAGGTAAAAGAATGGTGGGAAGTGGACCAAGTAGAATTCCGGATGAAAGGGGTATAGGTTTTATAAGAAACTACAACTCTTGAAAGCTAGACTCAAGATTTGGAATAAAGAGGTTTTTGGTAGACTAGAGCAAAGGAAAGTGGAAATCAGTCAGAGAGTGCAGGAGCTAGATGGACTAGAAGCTGAAAGAAGGCTGGGGGGAGAGGGTAGGGTGGAAAGATGGAATTTGAAACAGGAACTAGATCTTCTTAGGAAGGAAGAGATAAGTTGGAGGCAAAAATCCAGGTGCAAATGGCTAAAGGAAGGGGACATCAATACAAGGTTTTTTCATTCGTTGGCAAATGGAAGGAGAAGGAAGAATTCCGTTCCGTTTCAAAATTGGAGTGGGATGGGCAATTGCTAACAAGGGAAGATGATACAATTCAAGCTTTGGTTAATCACTTCAAATTAGTGTATGACAACCCAGGGAGACCTAGTGAGAGATTAGAGGACTTGGAGTGGAGGGTGGAAGATAGTGTCTTATTGGAATCTTCGGAAAGAAGATTTGAAGCCCAAGAAGTGAGAAATGCAATCTTCTCCATGGGTCGAGCTAAAGCTCCTGGGCCTGATGGTTTTTCGATGGCCTTTTATCAAGATTGTTGAGAGATAATTAGAGAGAATTTGTTGGAGATTTTTGAAGAGTTCTATGAGAAAGGAAAATTTAACTCGGGAGCAAATGCAACTTTTATTGCCTTGGTTCCTAAGAAGAAGGACGCTCTCCAACCAAAGGATTTCAGACCTATAAGCCTGGTGGGAAGCATGTATAAGATCATCTCTAAGGTCTTAGCGCTAAGACTAAAAAAGATCCTCCCGTCTCTAATCTCACCGTATCAAGGG